AAAAAAAAAAAAAAAAAAGAAAATGAGACGGAAAAGAACGGTATAACTTGCATAACTAAACATTTTCAGCAGTGTATTGATTTCCACTAGTTTCTTTCTTCTCTTCCTTTCCCCTTCGTACCGTAGCAAAGTGCGGTGAAAACTGTGTAATGCGTCTCCTTCGAAAGGCCGTGCGGCCAGACGGTGAGGTGGAGGTGAAGGTGTGCGTCAGCACAAGTGAGGATCTGTGGCATCTTTACAATCTAGTGCTCTGCGGCGACCATGTGCGTACCAAGACGAAACGCAAGGTGGCAAAGGAGACGTCCACTGGCACCCAGGCGGCGGAGGTGCGCGTCGTTACGCTGGAGCTGGAGGTGCGGCAGGTGGAATTCTCCCCCGATGAGTTACGCCTCCACGGAGTCAACACGTCAGAAAATGACTACGTGAAGCTGGGCGCACACCACACACTGTCGATCCACACATTCCCACCACAGGACCTCACCATTGTGAAGAGGGATTGGGACGATATCATCGCCGCCCGTCTCCGGGAGGCGTGCGACAACGAGTCACGTTCAGATACCGCCGCCATCTTGATGGACAACGGCGTGGCGAATGTTCTGCTCGTCACCCCTTCGTTCATGTACAGCAAGGCAAAGGTGGAGGTGAGTATTGCCAAAAAGCACAAGAACGACGGTACGGCGCGGGATAAAAGCATCCAACGCTTCTTTAAACAGGTGCTGGACGCCATATGCACACACATTGATTTTGAGAAGATGAAGTTGGTGCTCATATGTTCCCCTGCCCATGTTCGTGAGGAGTTTAGGCAGTACATGGAGTCGGTTACTGTGCACGCTGAAACTGGCCCGCTACGGAGTATCCACAAGAACCTCTCAAAAGTGGTTCTTGTCAAGGTGACGAACAATACGAATGATGCGCTTCGTGACGCCTTCGCAGATCCTCTCGTCGCAAATAAAATGGACTCTACACGTTGCAGCGATGATATTAAGGTATGGAAGGGCTTCCAGGATACGATGAACAATGACCCGGACCGCTGTGCGTACACCCCGCAGATTGTTTACCAGGCGGCCATGATGGGCGCTGTGGGAACACTCATGGTGAGTGATGCTTTGTTCCGCTCCAGCAGCCCTGTTGAGCGGCGCTTTTATCTCGCGCTTGTGCAGTTTGTAAAGCAGGGCGGAGGAAAGGTTAACGTGTTTTCTAGCAACCACGTCACTGGGGAACAGTTGGCACAGGTTGGTTCCATTGCCGCCATCCTCCTCTATCCGTGTCCTGAACTCGATGATGTGGAGGTGAAGGAAAACTTCATAAATAGCGAGGAAGCCGCGGGATTCATTCGGGAAAATGCCCCAACGCGTGTGACGGTCTGAGCCTCGACTCACATGTAAGGGAGATTGTGTGTGTACCATATGACCATACATTCCTTTTTGCTGTGGTCCCTCTCTCCTTCCAGATATATACATATATATATATGTATATATGTATATATCAAACACATGCACACACGCACACATACCACCTTCCTTATTGCCTCCTTTCCCTCTTTTCCTTGCCATTATTCTCCTATATATATATTTTTTTTTTTTTTTTACTGTGACTCCTGTACCCCCCAACTATCTGTTGTTTCTCTCCTGTTGTGTTCTTCATTTGAGGCCACTGACATTAACATAATTAATTAGCACCGATGCTGCGGCCAGGGCTGCGCTCATTGTGCGGCGTCCGTCCTGCCCTTCGCCAGTTCTCAACTCGAAGGGCGCTGCTTCCCTCTTTTCATGCGATACGTCGCCATGGTTGCTTGTCTCACAGACAGCTCCAGCAACACTATTCTGGCGGTGGCAGCTGCAGTTCTTTGTTCGTTTCAAGGCGATTTGTCCTGGTTGAAACAAATGAAACGCCGAACCCGGACTGTCTCCGTTTCTACTCCATGGAGCTTTCTTTCCTAAAACCTGGCATGTCGATGGACTTTCCAAACGCTGGACACGCGTACAAGTCGCCTCTGGTGGAAATACTTTTCGGCATTGAGGGTGTAGAGGGGGTGTATCTTGCAGACGAGTACGTCACGGTACGTAAGGGTTCCCTCGCTGAGTGGGACGAGATTGAGCCACTTGTGAAGGAGAGCATCTTGGAGTTCGCTGAGAGCAAGATGAACATACTCTCTGAGGAAGGTGAGGAGCTTGTCGAGGGACAAAACAACGACACAGAGCCGGAGGATGACGATGACGAGGTGGTGCTCGCTGTGAAGGAGTTGCTTGCCACACGCATACGCCCTATGCTTCGGGCTGACGGCGGCAACGTTCGGTATCTTGACATGGATGATGGAACCGTTTTTGTGATGTTGGAGGGGGCGTGCAAGTCGTGCCCGTCGTCCGGTGTGACGCTCAAAAACGGGATTGAGCGGATGCTGATGCACTGGATCCCGGAGGTTGTGGAGGTGCAGGAATGCACAGAGGAGACGGCACAGGACATTCTTGACGAGAAGACGCTGCGGAGGATGAAAAAAGAAGGTGCCACCATCGCGGCCAAGTGAGGCAAACACCCCCCCCCCCCCCCC